CAGAGTCCCTCCTTGTGGGGGACTTGGGCAGTGATATAAATTTGACATATAAATAAATAAAATATGATTTCAATTTTAAACAAATAGTCTGTATCAACAACAACAGATAGATCTGTAGAAAAATGTCTATTACTTATATAAAGAAACACTCTTTTATGGATTTCTCAGTATCTTAACACTAATAAATCTGATATGCTTCCTATGATCAGGAAGCCTATATCAATCAAGGTTTAGTTAGAATATTAGACTAGGATGATCCTAGTTCATCCAGGTTCAAATTCTCATTAAATCACAAGGCTCATTAGGTGACTTTGTGCTAATACTCTCCAGCCTTGTTCAGTGGAATTACATAGTGTGCATTATGCTACAATAAGAGAACTAAGACTGTCACATCAAGTTGATTTCTCATTTTTTTAGTACTTCTATTGTTGGTCATCCAATAAATAATCAAAACCACCAAGATTTTACCAAGGCAGCTGTATGACAGTGACACTAAGAAAAATTGAAGACTTGAAAATGCTTGTAATACATACTTATGATTTATGACTGAAACATATTGATAAGGCAGTTTTGAATATTATGAGCCTAATTAAATAAAGTCTCCTTAGAGTACAGGGATCATACTGTTCTTTAGTTTTACAGTATTTTTCAAAAACTCACTTTTGTCCTTTATTTTGGTCAGGTAACTTTTACCATACAAAAGGTACCACTTAATGCATAGTCTTTCACATTCATATGAAAAATATGGAAATTGAATGGCCTTTTTAAAATAAATTTACAAATACTGTTTGATTTTGGATATTTGTATTAGAATATACATTTTTGTAAAAATTTTCTTGGTTTTGCTTTAGAATTTTCCTTTGTAAAGCAAAGTTATAAACAATTAAAATTTGTTATTCTTATGAACTTAGGACGTGCCCCTTTTTCAGGTTTGTCCTTTATTTTTTCCAAGAAAATATGGACACTGTACCTTAGAGTCAAGCTGTACTAATAACTTCATGGATGTTGGAAAATTCTTATGGGCCATTTCCAGAGACGTTTGTACCCAGCATCCTCCCAATCCCTACAGCCAGATCAGCGCAAGCACACACACACCACTTGGTTCAGGTAGCAAAAACATCCCATGATGTTTATTCATTAAAACTCAGCAAACTTCAGAAACAGTTAACTGGCAAAACAGGATTAAATGCAGGCAAAAGAAGAGATATAAGGACTTAACAACAATGGAAGAGATAAACAGGGAAGAGGACTTAATATCAATAATCTATATTATTGATATATCACAGAATTCTGCAGAGCCACCAGAAACAATACTTTGGCTAGTTAGCATGGACAGTCCCAAAGGGACTATTGTGACTATTGATAAATGTAATATATAAGCTAATTTTTCCCCTTTCCCCCCTCTTTTTTAGTTTGTTTGGGGTTGGGGTTTTTTTCTATTTGTTTCTTTTGTTTTGGTGTCTGTTATTTTTTTTAATTTAAAAATGTTTTGTTAATTGTGTATGTTAAATTTTTTTTAAAAAAGGACAGTCACAAACAGAGTGGCATTTGGTTATTCCAGTTTTAACCCTTTCATATACATAACATATATGTATATGAACATATAGCTGAATAGAAATGAAAAGTAGGATAGCAGGTGATCCTTCTTCTATTCTCCACTATGAAGGAAACAATTTGGATGGGAATGATGCATCCCACAATGGATGCATCCATGTAATTTACTTGGGAACACAGTACAAATACATTTGCCACTGACTGCTTCTTCTGGAATATTTTAATTTTTTTCCCCAGTCTAGCCTACAGCCCTGGGATCTTCTGGTGGTTTCCTTTCCAATTATTAATCAGGTCTAACTCTGCATTGTTTTTTGAAACCAGCCAAGGTCAGCTAGGTACTGCTATCTAGTACCTAGTAATAATAAGAAACCAACAGATTTCTTATTCTCAAATATTGTTCTAAATATAAGCCTCTGCAAACTGAAATTATGGACTAACAGATTGTGATGGAATATACCTATGAAGGGGGAGGTGTGATGGAATGCAGTAGAGATCCAGGTTCTCAGGGAGGAGGGGGCACATTCCAGGAAGGAAGAGGAAGAAACAAGAGGCAACATAGTCCAGAGCAGGAGCGTGGGAAGAAGAGACTTAAGATAGCCACTCCCTAGATTTTCCCAGAGTATATCTATTAGGTTAGCATAATACAGATTTAGTCTGACAAGATTTTGTCTATCTGATGTAAGCAATAAAGAACTGAACTTGGCTGGATTCTTGCCCTGTTGTTCTTGGGCTGGGCCTGACACAGATGTTGCAATTTTAAGAAATGAACAAAGGGCATAAATAATGCCAGATGAAAATTCGAAAGCAATAATACTGGGAACAGTTTCTCCATTACATTTTTTTTAATAAATAAGGTATTGAGTGAACATGTTTGGCTTAATATGCAAATCTGCTAGACATCAAACTGTATATCTTGCATGAAAAGTGGGGGAAATTCCAGATTGTACTGATAGTGGAGGGCAAACAATTTAGCATTAAGCTCTTCTCAAGATGAAATTCCTTTATGCTTGTATTAGGAGGGAGTGGCAAAATTCCTGCAACATATTTTTTTTCCCATGCCGTGGGTCAGTACAAAACCCACAAGTATGGAAACAAAAAGCCCCCCCCCCCGCAATGTAAGACTAAATTCTGTCCCCCACCGTTAGTGGAGTTTCATTACTTTCACCTGCTTCATTATTAATGTATCACATCCATTCCTGGGGAGGAGGATTCTGAGAGAATCTGGAAATTATTTATTTCAATAGCAACCTGTTTTTTTTACAGAGTCTGTCCCATAAATTAAACAGTGACCATATCATTTCATTGGTGTTGCTGATCTCCAGAGATTGAAGGTTTTTTTTAAACACACACATAGACAACAGGTTTTGTTTTCATTTCTAGCTATAACAGGACTATTCTCCTGAAATATGTAATTTCCACTTGCTCAGAAATACCTTCAAAGTAATACACACTTAGCTGTGAAGGAGAAGGAGAAGGAGAAGGAGAAGGAGAAGGAGAAGGAGAAGGAGAAGGAGAAGCTGTCATTAGCTTATCTGAATTAGATCAATTTTATTCTGACAAATACCAGAGGGCTATCAAATCTGGACTGCAGAGTTTGTCTCTTTGATGCTATTTAGTGGATTTTTGCAACCCAGATGTGATAGTCATAAAAGATTGTATTTTGTGATTTCACACATCACACTAACCACAGAAATGCAGACTATAATTGAATGGAGAACAGGTTTAAACTGATATTCATCACATATTTCTCACTATACAGACTAACATCTAAGGAATTATCAAGGATATTTCAAGAGCTACATGGACAACCATTATATATTTATTTTAAAAGCATATTGCATTGTTCATAAGATTCCTTTTTGTTTTTAATATACTTGCCAAACAATACCTTAATGAATCCTGTTATTAATAATAGAACAATATCCTGTGGGAGAGCTATTAAGAATTTCAGTAGAGCTTTAAGAGTTACTGAACACAGCAAGGATATCATGTCAATTGTTAGCCCAATTTTCTCACTGATTGATATGACAGCAGTTGCACTGGGACTGAAGCAGAGGCCTTTCTTGGCTTTACTTGGAAGTCAGGGATTGACCCATTTACCCTTTTCCCTAATTAACTTTCAATACTTTTTTAAAAAGTTGCATCAAGCTGGTTTAACAGTCAACCTTAATTTCATATTTCCTTACTAACCTGCATGAGTTCATTGCTATCAATGAGTTTATCTTCCAGCATCTCCTGTGTTAATTTTCCCATGGTGCCATAGAAGTCATCTGCAGTTTCACAAGAATTTATCTGCCTGCATCACAACACAAATATTTCTATTACTATACATGTTATAATCCTATACTGTACATTATTTGCTTTCTGTTTCTTGGAGAGGTCTACATTTAAGGATAGTTGGCCTAGGTGATGATGTTGCTACTTCAAGGGTGACTTGAGTTTAGTACCTCTAACTGTAAAATGTGAGAATGTATGTATTGGAGCAATTAGGTCTGCTCTTGGGTCAGAGGCAGGAGTAGCTGATAGGTAATCTCACCTGATCTCAGAGAAAGGTGGAGTGCTAGGAATGGTACCTGATGTGAAAGGTTGGTTGCCACTTCAGGAAATATGCTCAGTGTATTTCATGGGTTGAAAGGAATACTAATTGTTTTTCTGCTTTGATGTTGGGTTGAATGGTCCCCCCAGCACCCGCATCATATTCTTTTTATTTAATTGACCTGTTAAAGTAGAAGCAAATGTTCAGTACCCTAGGATGACTATCACAGTAGTGGCAGAGAATAAAGATTTGGTGTTAGCAGGCTGTTACACAGGGAAAAAGAAATTAGACATTTAAGAGCTATAGTCCCTTCTGGAAGCCTTGTCAGCAATGAGATACTGAAGAGTGATCCCAGCCCTTCAAAGAACCTGGTCTTGATCCTCCATAATGTCAGGTATAAATCAGAGATCTGATTGTAGATGAGAAAGCCACATTGGTTGTGAAATAGATACCTACTTAGGGAAGCAGGTATGCTGATATGAGTCCTGTTTGTTCTGGCTGGATACTCTGAAGTACACTGTCAACTGAAGCAGGAGAAAATGTGGTGTAGCTGTGATTCATGAAAACAGTATCTCCCTTACCAAGATACCTGTGACAAAACTGGTGCACATTGAGCATGAACACCTTTTGGAATTAGGAATAAATTGAAGATTCTGTTAGTTTACTGCTTGTGCTACAGTCTGACAAAATCCCTGACTGACTAGAGGGAATTAGATTTGATGTTTGAGATCCCTGGATTTCAATATTCATTTTAGGACCGTTTTTCCTGGAACAACTCAGGAATTGATAACAGCCACAATAAGGATGGTCTATCCCAGTTGATCACAGGGACAATACATGATGTAAGTTATATACAGTGGGGCAAAAAAGTATTGTCAGCCACCAATTGTGCAAGTTCTCCAAATTAAAAAGATGAGAGAGGCCTGTAATTTTCATCATAGGTATACCTCAACTATGAGAAACAAAATGAGAAAAAAAAAATCCAGAAAATCACATTGTCTGATTTTTAAAAAAATAAGTATTTGGTCACCTACAAACAAGCAAGATGTCTGGCTCTCACAGACCAAAATAAGTATTTGGTCACCTACAAACAAGCAAGATGTCTGGCTCTCACAGACCAAAATAAGTATTTGGTCACCTACAAACAAGCAAGATGTCTGGCTCTCACAGACCAAAATAAGTATTTGGTCACCTACAAACAAGCAAGATGTCTGGCTCTCACAGACCAAAATAAGTATTTGGTCACCTACAAACAAGCAAGATGTCTGGCTCTCACAGACCAAAATAAGTATTTGGTCACCTACAAACAAGCAAGATGTCTGGCTCTCACAGACCAAAATAAGTATTTGGTCACCTACAAACAAGCAAGATGTCTGGCTCTCACAGACCAAAATAAGTATTTGGTCACCTACAAACAAGCAAGATGTCTGGCTCTCACAGACCAAAATAAGTATTTGGTCACCTACAAACAAGCAAGATGTCTGGCTCTCACAGACCTTTGAGGTTGTGGACAGGTGTCTTTTATACTGATAACAAGGTCAAACAGGTGCCATTACTACAGGTAACGAGTGGAGGACAGAGGAGCCTCTTAAAGAAGTAGTTACAGGTCTGTGAGAGCCAGACATCTTGCTTGTTTGTAGGTGACCAAATACTTATTTTCCACCATGATTTGCAAATAAATTCTTTAAAAATCAGACAATGTGATTTTCTGGATTTTTTTTTTCTCATTTTGTTTCTCATAGTTGAGGTATACCTATGATGAAAATTACAGGCCTCTCTCATCTTTTTAAGTGGGAGAACTTGCACAATTGGTGGCTGACTAAATACTTTTTTGCCCCACTGTATTTTGGCATTTTGTTCTAATCAGGGGAATCTTCTGTTAGTGGAAAAGCCTCCAGATTCCCCTTTGTTGTGGATGGAACCCCATCTGGTTAAATTGATTAAGGTTACACCTCACTTCTAGATGGGCAGTGGACTTATTAAGATGATCTGCCTGAAAAGTTTACTGAACCCAGCTAGTTACCAAGAAGTCTTGCAATGATTTGGAGCTGATTCCACCAGTTGTTTCTATTTCTCAAGTAGATTTTAGAAAGCATAGCTTGGAGACAGATGCTCCTTGAAAATGCATTGCTCAGAGTTCCATTTTGTTGCCAAAGCTTTTCAATATTTACATGAAACCACTAGGGATGATAATCAGGAGACGCTGATCCCCAAACAAACATCATCTTTGGCCACTAAAGCAGTCGCCATCCCTTAGCCCATCATGAAGCCCATCTGAAATGGGTCAAAATAATTTGCTTTCTTCTGGTCTGCGTGATCTGAGAAGCCACTAGTCTCATTTTTGGAGCTATATGCTCATGACACACATATATATTTTTCTGTGACATCTTCAGGAAATGGAGTGACTCCCCTGAATGTCTCTCTGCAATCAGTAATGAGGAATAACACTGAAACTGAATCCAGACAAGAGGGAGGTGCTCATTTTAAGGGACAATCATTCTAATGAGGGGGTAATTCTGCCTGTTCTAAATGGGAGACTGCTATCCCAGAAGGAACAGGTATACAGTTTGGGAGTGTTTCTGGACTCATCTCTCTCTCTGGTGCCCTGGATCAAGGCAATAGCTAGGAGCATTTTTATCAGTTTTGGCTGCATCACTTCCTGGAAGAAAATTACCTAAAAATTATGCTTGCACTGGTAACCTCCAGACTTGACTATACTCCAGGAGCAGGGGCAATAAGACTTGTTATGAATCTTATTTTTTAACTTTTATACAGGTCAGCTGCAAGGAGACTGGCTCATGAAATTCGCTGCCTCAACATTTCAAAGCCAGCATGTAATGGAAGGCATAGGCGAGGAGGAGACTGATGTCAGGTTCAGCCCAAGAACAGCAACGAAACAGTCCAGTCCAGTGTAGTTCCTTTATTGCTTACATACTATAGACAGAATCTCACCAGACTAAACCTATCCTAAAGCTACTAGCAGATATACCCCGTAAGAGTCTAGGGAGGAGCTAGCCTCAGCCTCTTCTTCTTCCCACAGTCCTGCTGCGGGCTGAGAAAGTGCTTGCCTTGCCCCTTCCTCTGGAATGCACCCCCTCCCTCCTGATAGCCTTGATCTCCTCCTCGCCTATGCCTTCCAAGTTCATTGAAGGTTGGCTTCCAAGTAGTTTATGAATGATTGGGTGGTACATGTAGAATGAAAACTGTACTGATCATACCCTAATGAACTGTAACAAGAATCAAACAAAAATTAGCATTTATGTTTAACCAGCATGCAACATAGTAAATTGGTTGTCCAAATTAGCTTTCTCTTAGAGTAGCCTTCTACAGCCTGATAGCATCCAAACAAGCTAGATTTCAATTCCATAATTCCTATTATAGAAGAATTCCTATTATAGAACACATTTGGGATACTCAAGTTGGGTAAGGCTACCTTGGGGTCTTTTAGTTTTACTCTGGGTTAATTTTGGCAATTATCAACTGTCATTAGTCTGTTTTGAACAATGACGCTATTAATCAACTATGCTGTGAACAGATAATAATTCTAGTATTGTACACTGAACAAAGGAAGGAAAGATTACCAAATGTTTGATAGGTCATTCCTCTTAAGTATAGGAAAGAAAATACCATTCCAAATTCCTTTCCATAATTACAATGCCAGGTCTCATTAAATTTTATCTTTTCATCCACAAAAAACCATCTTGTATTAAGTAGCAGGCAAAAGATGTGTCCCAAAAATATTCCTAAGAAATCTCATAAAGAAATTACACTAAACCTTCCATTTAAATGAAAGAACAAACTGCTGTCTTCCCAAATGTACACTTTAAATAATAAAACTAAAATGGGATTATTGGGGCTGAGAGAGAATGACTGGCCCCAGGTCACCAGGCTGTTTCATGCCCTAAGGCAGATCTAAAATTCTGAGTCCCCTTGTTTCTATCCTAGGACCTTTAACCACTATACCAAAATAGCTCTTACATTATGTCTTTAGGTTGCATAAAAGATCTATTAAGTTGCAAACAAAATGGTAGTTGTTACAACCTCCATTTAACATGCAGGCTTATTCAGGAAAATTTTATTTAAACGGCACCTTTTCTATAAATGGGCCTTTTTTCCTTGGTTACTTAAATCTCATGATTGTAAACAAAGCATCAATGGTTAGTACTGAAGTAGTATTTTTAATCTAAAAATTCCTAAGTGTTCTGCAAATGCATGGACATTTTCCAACTGAAGTTCCAACTGGCAGGGGAATAATTAATTTTAGCCAATTTTTCTTTCCTCTACAGCTCCCCCTGCTGTTCACCACCCTGTTCTGGGAACAGCCTCAATTTTTAGAGAGCAGATTTTTTGGAAGCTGAGAGGGAATAAAGAAAAGCTCCATGAGCCAATTTTCATTTGCAGAAAAGATCGAAGCCTTTGTTAATTAATATCATTCAAATTATGGAATAGGACTGTAATTGTTTAATTACAACACATATAACAAAATATATAAAAATGCCCTATTAATTGTTGTAAAAAAGAGTTTCATTAGCATTTTCTCTTTAGCTATAATTTTTGCATCCAGACCCTCTTTGTAGGAAGATAAAAAGTATATGAATGTTAGAAAAAGTGTTCAAATGCCATTTTCCAGTGAAATGAACAGGCCTTGGCTTAGAATTACTGCTGAAGTCACTGACAAAAATTACTTCAAGAGTTTTTAGTGTAACTGACAAGAGCAATAAAATTGTTTCAAGTGGCCCTAACAGAAGAAAAAAAAATTCCAAATGTAGTCACAATACTTAGAAAGCTTTTTCAACTTCCAACATTTAACATGGAAATGATTATTGAAGTTTTTGCTACAAGTACTTAAAATTCATTGTTCTGACAGTTGGTGCTGGACTATTGGCATCAGTACATATTTTTATTTTTGTGGAATATAAATTGCCTTTTAGATTAGAAGAGTACTTTTTAAGCTTTCAATGTGGGTTTCAAATATAGTGTACGTACATCTCTGCTCTATCAGTTCCCACAAGCATCATCATTGTTCAGATGATGGATTTGGAATTCCCCTTTCTTGCTACTATGTTCCTGAAATCACAAAATATGAAGCTTGATCTCTATAGCAGATGTTGTAATATATAGACTACAAGAATGATGTATACCAGGAGCAGACAAAGCATCATGATCTAGTGGCAGATCTCTGTGAGAAAATTTTATCATTCTAAAGTAAGTTGCTAGAAAAGAGTACTTGGGAGAAAATCAGGACTTCTTTTGTTTGTGTGAATTGTGTGAATTCTTCAGCTAGGTATTGGTTATTTAGTTCTTTGTGTGTGTTTGCCTAATCTGACTCTGGCTGCTAGACTTAAGTTGGTGATTAAAATGTTGAACTAGGTCTGGAAGAACAATAATTCCTCAGCCGGCCATGAAGATTCTTGGGTGATTTTTGGCCTGATTCTATCATTTAGGCCAGTGTTTCTCAACCTTGGCCACTTTAAGGGGTGTGAACATGGCTGGCTGGGGAATTCTGGGAGTTGAAGTCCACACCGCTTAAGTGGCCAAGGTTGAGAAACACTGATTTAGGCTAACCAATCTCACCAGGTGTTGTGAACGTAAATTGGAGAGGAAGTACCCCATCTTGATTCCTATAGGAAAGGTGGCATATAAATATAAATCACCACCCTAATCTTAATGTAGACCTCACAGTCTCTCATGTACATAGTAAAGCATCTCATAATTATCTAGTATTATAGCCACTGAACAGAGTCAACTTGAGGCAAAGGTTTTAGGCCCCAACCCAACAACTGCCTTCTCCAAGAGCAAGTGAACATAACCTTACTGTAACAAGGATATTGTATTGGTGTGATGAAATACAGAAATGGAACAAAACGAAACAGAAACAAAACTTTATGCTATAAGGGAAAAGTGAAGGTGCATAATAATAATTTTCAGTACAGACAGTTCCCTACTTATGAACAGGTTACATTTCAAGAGGCTGTTCATAAGTCCGTTTTGTTTGTAAGTCCAACCAAGCAAAAAGTACTGTAAAGAAAAAAGAAAAAAAAGAGGAGGCGGCAGGGCAGCAGTGTGGGCAGAGAGCCCTGTCTTCTACTGCCAATGTGAGAAACAATAGCATGCAGACTGTGGAGAGCACAGTGGAATAAGCTGGTGGGGTGCGACATGCTCTATTGCCAGGAGAGGCAGGGGTGGCTCCCTGGGTGAAGGGGACGGCTGTGCGGGAGGTGCTGTTCAAGGTGGCGGCAGGACTGGAGGAAGCAGTGGGACAAGCGCAGGCACAGCATGCACTCTGCAGCTTGTGTTGGAAACTGCTGGCCCTTGCAGGAGGAAGGCTGAAGATTGCAGCCTCCAACGTGCGCTGTAAACTCCAATGCAAATCTCCAACCTCCCAGAAGGCAGGAGAAAGCGGGAAAGGGTTAGCTTGCAGCACCCCAGAAACTAACCCTTTCTTGCCTTCTCCCAACTTCCAGGTCCATCTTCTTCGTATCGGCGAAAGTTTGCAACTTGAAAGTTCATAAGTAGAGGACTGCCTGTACTTAAATACCATTTCACACAGCATTTTCTCAAAACAATGGTTTATTTTTAGACATAGACTGAAATATACTTACTCTTCTAGTTTTGCCCAAATAGCCAATGCTACTCTCAGTATAATTTCTGACCCCTCAAAGAATACAGAATCCCAAATTTTTAAAACTGTATGGTTAGGAAGGCAGGTAGCAAACAGGGTCAGGAACCACTGCATAGTGAAGACATTTGTAAGTGGGGGTTCATACCCACCTGAAACAGAAAAAGAACAGGGAAATCATTGCCTGCTGTTCCCTCTGCATAACCTAATACAAAAATGGGTAGAATACAGATGTACTCAAATTATACCATTGTGTTCAATTTCAGTTTCATACAAGCTCAAAAAGCTAAAAGCAATGGTTAATATGTTGTAGATAATAATGCCATTGTTTAGTTTATAAGATACTGACTCCCTTTTAACAAAAGTTAGCACATGACCAAACTGATCTCAGAAAAGCTAAGCTGGGTGAGACCTGATTGATACTTTAACAGGTGACCACCTGAGATCTCAAAGTAAAAGTACAGTGGTACCTCGGGATACGAACTTAATCCGTTCCGTGACTCTGGGCGTATCCCGAGTTGGTCGTAACCCGAAAAATTCGCAAGCAGAGGCGTTCGTATCCCGAGGTATCACTGTAAAAGGTAAAAGTAAAAGGTAAAAGTAAAAGCAAAAGTAAGTAAAAAAAATTTTCAAAGTCCCATAATAATACTTTTGTTAAATATTTACATGCACTGCTCTGCTCTTATCTTTATTATTTAAAAATGTAGAAGCTTCACCTGATGCAGAAAATCTCAGGGCTTCCCTGGGTAATACTTTAATAGCACAGTCCTTCAAATCTGTAATTGCCCACTATATTATTTATTTATTTACAAATCAAACTTGTATGCCATGCATCTCACGATACAAATGTCTCTAACATTTGTTTATCAACTTATCCAAACTATAATTGTTTTTGACACTGGATTATTATTAGAACTGATCCAGAAAGAATAATCATATTTAGAGCTGGGAGAGTAAAGGGGTCTATTATCTATTACTTCAGAAAAAGCTATTGTATATGAATCAAGAGACTATCACCTAAGATTCCTGGTACCATTAATCTGCATATCTGGTTTCATAGATTCCTGTTTAGTGATATTATCTCAAACACTTTCTAATTTTAAACAGCACTTACAGTTTTAACCCAGTAATTTTACATTTTTACTTTATGTTAAGAGTAAGGAAATTTATTTCTAAGCAATAAAGAAAAAACAAAGGAGAAAATACTTGCATGGCAATTGCATACCTCCACTTTCCTTGTTGGCAGCTCTTTGGAGAGTATCCAGATGCTGGGACAACTCAGGAAGTTTCATTCTTAGAAGGTCTCGGAACACTGCCATGTCAACAGACAGTGCTTTAAGATTATTGACAAAGTAGCTATCAGGTAGCACTTTATCAATTAAGTAAATCATTATCTGAAAAGCAAGCAGAAAGTGAGTTTAAGGAAAATTTATCATTCAAGTAGTGGTCTTTGTATAAACATAAGTTAGAATCATAACTGATTCTCATACCTGTACATCCTCATTTAGCCTTTAGGGGCCTTGTTTCTATACCATGGTATATTTATAGTCAGCAAAACTAGATATGGATAAAAATCTGGTCAATAGATATACTCACTTTTAAAGCATCTCCCTCATTGCCCTCCATTACTTCCAGGATGAGAGCAGCAAGGATGTTAAAACCTTGACAATAACCTACAGATTTGTTCCACCTGGCATAAGCCAATAACACTCTTTTCAATACCACTCTGTCTTGTTCTGCCTCTTGGCCACAATAAGAACTGCACCCAGTTCGATGAAGATCCTAAGTGGGGATGGGAGAGAAACAGTAAAACCTTTGCATATGACTTTCACATTTCTTTAAATACAAGTATAAATTACATCTCAATATTTTTACTTTCTGAACTCAACTGACTTTTTACTGTGGATTGGAATTGAAGCGCATGAGACACCCATCTTTGCACTGTTATGTTCAAGCAGCAAATAATCAACACCTCAAGAAGTAATTACAACCAATCAATATACATTAACAGTAATGTAGGAACTGTCACATGAAAAACGGATTCTTTCTCTTCTTTCTGCTGAACTGGTCTTCAATTTTCCCTCTCTTTTTTAACCTTTACTCTGATGCTAGTGATTGATACTGTTTCAGGACATGATAAACTGAAAATTGTTAAGCTAGCCAATACATTTTGGTGGTCTTGTTTTCTAGTTAAAACAGTGGAACACTTGGTATAAATCCAACTTTAGGCAAGGAACAATTGTTGCATTACAATCCTAGCTTTTATAGCACAATTTTAAGAAAGAGATTGGACCCCAGTGTAATTAATGGAAAACATCAAACAAATACCGAACAATATATTACACTGCTGAAACTGTAAACTCTTTAAGCAAAGTAAACCAGTACAAAATGAAAAATTAAGTGTGCTACTAGCAGTACAAAAATAAAAGAAGCTAAACTACACAAAAAAGGAAATCAAGTTGGGACACCATGATCAAACTGAGACAATAGTGAGAAATCTTAATTTCTTTATTGATTACTATAATATATAGAACGCTTAGCACATAAGCAGATATGCTTTCTTCTTTTGTTATGTTATGAATGTAAAGAAATTGATAAGTAAATTAATAAGCTTTTAAATACCTTTACAATCTGAATACCCATGGAATCATCATCAGGATTACTTCGGTCATTGAAAGTGAAACGCATCGTTTTATCCCAGTCAATTGCTATACTCTTTAAATAGTGATCTGCCAGGGTGAGCCAAACCTTAAAAGATATACCAAAAACCATCTCAGCTCTACTTTAAATGGGTTTATTTTACCTCTGTGCAAAAATATCCTGCATATTTAATATGTTGCCATTGATTGTATATAACATAGAAACATAAATCTGTTCACTTGCTTATGCTAGAATGAAGGAAGAGGCAGAATATGCTTTGCCCCATCAGAATGTGGCCAGGAATCCTGAAAATCTACAGCATGGAGACTTGGCAACTCTTTAGACTTTGTGCTTTATGTGCAAAATCCTTGTGGGGGGAAGCCAAATTAGATGGGCGCATTACAGGTACAGCATGCCCATGTGCTGCACCCACTCAGATTTGGCCTATTTATATTATGACTATAAGCTAAACTGAGCTATAGTTATTGGAAAAATGATTATAGCAAGTAGGCATGACTTTTAGTTAATTACTGCCAGCATCGCAAATATTTATGTACTTGTACCACTGAAAAAATTACAAGCAAGTGTACATTTGAATACACACACACACACAACACACACACCACTATGCATGCATAGTTGAATACAGATGTGTGAATTCTCCTCAGTCCCATCCGAATTGTACATTCAGACTGCTGAACTGATTTCATTCAGTCAATTCAATATGAACTGTTGTTTGATATGAAGTGTGTGCAAAATTTGTCCAAACTGGTCCAGATTGAATCAATGTGTATGATGAATCAACTTTCTGAATTAGACTGACAACTGAAACTGGCAACTGATTTAGGAAATCAGTTTGATAATTCAAAAGAATTGTCTTTCCATTAAATCTCTGAACCAAACATTTACACAGCCCTAAAAATTATAGCTCACCTACATGTAACATATGGTACCAGGCTCATTCCAAAAATTCTTAATAGACAAGTCCCTTTCCAGAATAGATTTCTGTGTAGCATATTCAGTAACATTAAAAATAGTATAGTATGAAAATTTGAAATTCAGCTATCAGCTTATGCCATTCAAGCCTTCGTCTTTTTGACTACAATTTAATCATAACTACTGTCATCTAAATCTAAATCCATTTTTCATAGGTAGACAGAATTCGGGGGTGATAAGACAAATATAAAATGGAAGACAAAAAAGAAAAAAGAAAACCTACCAACCCATACACAAAAATGGTATTTATCAGTCTTATTATATTAGGCAGGCATTCAGAATTCCACAGACCATTATTAGAAACTTATATTGCAAAGAAATGTTTATGCATTTCAGGGACTCTTTGGAAGCTGGATAGTCTGATTAAGTAGCTACTTGACAAAGATATGTGATTTTCCCCCATAGGAATAACATTTGTACCAGCAAAGCCTAAGTATATTGGATGGCCGCAATGTCTAAATTATTCCAAGCATGCTAACTAGGAAGCTTTCACACATGTCCTACACAGAAATACTTACAACTTTTTAAGTGGTATTGTTTTCTATATCTACTTCCTTACTCTGTTTATTTTACACAATGAAGTTTACAATTATAGACAATATACGTAATGAAAAACTCTGCTAAATTAAAGTAAGCTCCATATGCTTTTCAAAAAGAAAACAACTAACTTCATAGCTAGGAAATATCTGTACATAGGGAAACGTGTAAGTTTATTAGCAGGTGATTATTTTAGTATTTGTACATTTCCCAATAGAGATAATACTATAACAATGAGTCTGCTTAATTAGACTTTCTTAATTATCTTTCCATTGCTTCAACATAAGGAAAATCCTTTTCCAGTCTATTTGTTATTCATAATTCCAGTATCTTTCCAAAAAGGATCTTGCTTAATTAGAACTTTTTACTGGTGCCTAGCCAGTAGCATTAAATACATGCAGGTTTTTACTGCTGGGATAAACAGCAGCTGTTTATCCTCAGTCCAGAGCTTCACATAATGCTGATCACTATGCATTTTATGAAGAACGGAGTTTTACTTACCTTTCTTCTCCACTCTTTTGGAATTCCTGTTGACAGCCTAGCCACTGCTTTGAGAGCATCATGCCACTAAAAACAACCACCCATACAGTGTTAAATTATTCCAATTTGGAAACACAATTCAACATACAATATTTTAATATTACAGAGGAAATATTTATCATAAACTGGCCACAAAATACTTAAATACAACTGCAAAACAGAAGAAAAAAGTGCTATGTAATTCATTTATATAGGAATTACAAGAATACGCAACTGACTTTAATACTTTGAGTTTCTTTGCTGTTGAAACAATTAATTCCCACTGAAAAAGAAAAAAAATCAAACTACAGGTGGAACAAATGCAGTGGCAGCTCAGCTCTTTTGGATAATAAAATACATCCCAGCCTTAATTAATTAATGCAATTTTAAAATTATTATTTGTCCATGCACTTGGAAAATTATTTAAACTTATTATTTAATAAATGACTTTACTTGAACTACTAAGAAGCTTTTTTTGTAGGACAACTTATTTCAATAAATAAAAATCAGTTACCTGTTGAAAACCATTCTGACCTAATGATGGCTCAAGTGTAAACTTCAACTTTGTGTCCACCCCTATGCAATAAAAATAGAAAACCAATTACCAATATACTCATTCATGGATCGAAACTGCATCACATTGGAGGCTATAATGTAAACCTGATATTGCAAAATTAATGCAGGGATAACATACCCTAAAATATCAGTATTACTGTACAAAAATAATGCAACTTTTCACAGTGAATAATAATAATAATAATAATAATAATAATAATGATGATGATGATGATGATGATGATGATGATGCCACTCGACTTCCAGCAAATAATATTCTGAACTAAAAACAAATCTGGAGAATAAATTTTAAAATGTTTGAAATAGAGACATGATGTTCTCTTCCTGCATAAACACAATACTTACACGTGGAGTAAAATATGAGTCAACAGAGTTTACTTTTCTCCCTTTTCCATAAACAGATCTCACTTACCAAAAGAAAGTCAGGAAGCAGCTATTACATTCATGAAAGTGCTTGTTACTTATTTATTTTA